TTCATGAACTTAAAAGCAAAGAGTATGAAAGCAAGCACAGAATACAGCATTTTTCATAAATAATGAAGGCAGCAGCAAAGCTCACAATTAACCTTTAACTCAAGATTTCAAGGCCTACTAACAACAGTGTCTTTAAATGTCTTTGTAAAAGGTTCATTTTTCTTGGAAATGTGGTATTATAAGTTGAACTAAATTCAGAAATTTTAAATTTTTAAATAGTTATTGCCTACTTTCTACTTTGAGAATTCTAATTATATGAATATCAGTTTCTTGGTTTTGACACAGAGAACTATTATGACTGATATGTAAATTCTTCATTTTTATTTTGGACAGTTTTTATTGTTATATTCAGTTATGTCTGTAAATAATTCATTTTCCATTTTCAATCTATTAAAAATTTTTTTTTAAAAAAGTGTAATTCCTCAGCTCAGAGAACAGTCTTTTTCTTCTCTAACCTGCCAGAATAGAACAGTATCCAAGGAAAGTCCGTTAAAAAGTACTTTGGCCATTAGGAAACAGTCCTAATCAAGGTCCCTTGATTCTTTCACTGTCCTAGACACTGGACCCAATGATGTTCTGGAAACAAACAAAAACTATCACCACTCCACAGCACTGGGGACCGAACCCAGGCCCTAATGTAAGTTAAGCAAGTTTGCCACACTGAACTACATCCCCAATTCCAACAAACCCCTTTTTGGAGGTACACACAATTCAGAAAAGAGACAGATCGGTGAGTGAAGGTGAATGAGCAAACCATTATCTAGTCCTTTTATCCCTGAACCAATCCAAGAGATTTCTTTTTATTTTTAAATTGTGAATGGCTGAGGTCTTTGCTCCTCATTTTCTGCTTGGTCAGGAAAAGAAATCCATAATAACACATCCCTCTTCTGAAAATTCACCTCAGCGTTCAGATTTCACACAATTTTCATGTAAGTTTTCAAAAACCATTGCCTTCGCTATTACTTTAATAGCATGACTAGGCGCTAACTTCCACTCTGATGCTAAACTGGTGCTATGATAGAACAAAACCAGAAGCCAGCTCTTCATGAAACTATTCTGGATGTGGATATTTTCCTATAAATAACACACATCATGCTTAGCACCATGAGAGAAATGAATTGAGCGCTGTGACTGCAAATAACGGAGAGAGGTAGAAACACACTTGAGTGAGGAAGATCAGGAAGGCCTTATTGAGGAAGTGACACGCAAATTCATAAATGAAAGATAAAAGTGCCCATCAAAAGGAAGAGTGTTGTGGCAGAGCAAACAAGAAAGGTTCAGGGCTGGGGAGATAGCTCGGTAGAATAAGTGCTTGCCTGGCAAGCTCAGGGTCCTGAGTTCAATCCCTGCTACTGCAAAGAAAAAAAAAAAGAGAGAGAGAGAGAAAGGTTCAATGACAACAAATTTCCTATGCTTAAGGGAAGGTTCATGAGTAGGGAGTAAGAATGGCCTGAGTTTGTTTTCCGTAATGCTGAATATATGCTGGACAACCTGAAAAGCACTTTAAATGCAAACTCTCACGTAAGCGCTACCAGAAACCTCTGAAGCCAGATCCCTGCCACATCCAAAATGACGTAAGCACAAGAGGTTAAGAAACTATTTCAAAAGCACATAGCAAATTGTGCAACTTGAATCCAAGTCAATGCAGCATGAATCCAAAGCTCACTTTCTGGACTGGCTGGCTGGATTTTGATGTTGTTGTCTCAGCACTGAGCTCTGAACCCAGAGCATTCACACCATCTTCAGCTCCTTTTATTCTGGGACAGGGTCTTGCAAAGTCACCTAGCCTGGGCTCCATCTTGTGATCCTTCTGCCTCAACCTCCCAGAGTGCTGAGATTAGAGGCTTATAACACAAAGCCTGGCTTCTGATTTACGCTTCTTCTGAGGCTGCTACATGGGGGTGGGGGGAGAGAAGGAGATTACTAAATGCACTGAAATGGTTCTGGTGTGAATTAGAAGTACATACATTCAAAATGTATTTTAGTGTCAGACTGAATTAGACTGCACAATTTACATGCATAAAAAAGAAAAGGAAAATTGGTCCAGTTTGTGAAGGAAGCATAGATTCATTCAATATTCCACGAATCTTTGTGCTTCTACAAAATTAGAATTCAACAGTTTACAAAACAAAGTCTTGCTCTTGGCATTTATATCACTGCAATCTGGAGCAGTTCAATAAACTAATCTGTAAACCAGATAGTGGTAAGTGGCTAGGGATAATATAAAGCAGGTTAAGTAGGAAGGGGTTACTATTTTAAGTGACAACTTCAAAAGAGTCTCTAATTTACAAGCAGAGGCCTCAGAAGAACAAAGGAGGCACCCCTGAAGGTAGAAGAAACAGCCCTTAGCAGTGTCAAAATGTCTGCAAAGGCCTGGAAGCAGGAGTGTTCTTGGACAAGGAGGCCATGGTGGTATATCAGAGCAGGAGAGGGAGAAAACATGAGGTTGAGTTGAACAAGAAACACATTAAACAGAACTTGGTTAGAGATTTGGCTTTTACTTTGAGTAAGATGGAGAAGCACTGGAAGACCTAAGCCAAAAAATAGAAGAGGGGTATTACACTGATGACAACATGAGAACTACACTAACCACAGGCAAACTAAACAAAACAAACAGCAGAGAGCAGCAGGGCAATAATCTCATGGGGGATGAGACCAGGGATGGTGAAAGAACCAGGTTTCAAAGAGTGGATAGGATTTGTCAATGAGATTAGATATAGTGGCTCAAGAAAGGAGTCAAGAGGGACTGAAAGGTGTTTGGGCCTGATAAAGAAAAACCAGTACAGCTGTGACCAGGCTCATGAACTTAATTTGTTCTAGGAATTTTAAAAAGATGGCCACATTTGTGTTCATATGAGAAAGATGGGAAAGATGGTCACATTTGTCACAGGAGGCAGAGTTTACAAAGACAAAATGTTGCCAAACATTTCTTTCCAAACCAAATAGTTTGCAAACAAAAGCACTGGTCAACCACGATATCACCGGTGATATTGCCACTTACTGGGATAGGAAGAGATGTGAGGAATGGGGGGGGGGGGGGGAGAGAAAGAGAGAGAGATTATGTGTGTGTGTGTGTGTGTGTGTGTGTGTGTAGTAAAAATCAGAAGTTCAGTCTGAACATTAAAAAAGAGAGACTTACAAATTTAAATACAAATGTTGATAGGGGCAGCTGTTTTTCAGAAGAGGAAGAGGTCTGGGTCAGAGACACAATTCTGGCAGTCTTTTGCATCTAAATGATATTTATGAGTAGGCTGGGCATGGTGTCAAACGCCTCCAGCACCCCTGAGGATAAGCAAGAGTTGGGGTTAGCCTGGGCTAAATAGTGAGTTCAAGGCCAGCCTGAACTATTATAGCAAGACCCTATCTCAAAAATAAGTAAATCATAGAAATAGACCTAGGAAAAGTATAAATGCAGTATCCAGAACCTAATCCTGGCTAAATTCTATCAGTTAGACACTTCCATCTTATACCTAGATTCTGAAAATAAAATAACCTGGCTTGACTTTTAAATTACCACAGCAATTCCTGAAGTCATCAGGCCTATTAATGAGCAACAGCAATGAACTAAAAAGACTGCCATACAAATTTCCAAAGAAAAAAAGAAAACTGTCCATGATCACAGGAATACTAAAACACTCCCAAATCTAGAGGTTGTAGAGTCTAGGAGCTAAAAGCATGGGTATATGAATCCAAGCTGTCTGGATTTTAATGAAACTCTATACCTCCTAGCTGAGCTGTGTGACAAGGCAAGGCACCTATCTACTGCCCAGTTTCCTCTAAAATCTTAAGATTGCTGTATTAAGCAATTAACTTTTTTTTTAAAGCAGCCAACTTTTTAAATCAAGTATATTAGTAACACTGGAACTAAATTGTTGAACCCAGATACAGTAGTGCATACCTGTGACGCTAGCACTCTGGGAAGCTGAGGCATGAGAAGCAAAAGTTAAAGTACCCCTGAGGGGTTTAGCAAGACCTTCCATCTACATAAAAAATTAAGAGTTGGGGATATCACTGAGAGTGAAGATACTGGGTTCAATCCAGTACCACAATATACAAAGAAACTAAACTGTTGAAACAGGACAATGTAACTAATTACTAGTTTTTCCAATTCTCTTGCCAAGGACTTGTAGTTTTGTTTCACTGATCAAACACCTGAGACCCTAGCACTAGGAAGACTGAGGCGGAAGGATCATGGCATTTCGGGGTTTGGCCGGGCCTACAATGAGTTCAAGGCCAACCTGAACCGTACAGGGAGACTGTCAAAAACAACAGCTTCCTGGTCGGGGAGGCAGTTCAGCGGCACGGCGCCTGCCCGGCAAGCACAAGGTCCTGAGTTCGATTCCCTGTACAAAGAAGAAAAAAAAAACAAAAACAAAAACAAAAAAACACCTTCCTAAATACAATTGTCTTAACTGTGGGAAAATAGCTCGCTGTCTGAATTTTTAAACAATGGCAATACACTTCCAAAGTAAGCATTCAAACAATCTTTAGAAGCAGACAGAAAAAAAGGGTCTAACAAGCTAGTCCTAGATCACAAATTCAAGTCTGCACCTCTCGGAACAAAGTCTGCCTGTGACAAAGACTGTGAGGGGACAAATCCCTCTTCGCTGGTCATTACGTGGCTCTCTCCTGGTCCCTAGAGAATGACTGCGCTTTCGAAGACTGAAAGGTTAAGCTTTGAATGAGACGACAACAAAGAAACAAGAAGTGATCTCTAAGCAGCAACAAGGAAAGACTTTCCCGAGCCGCCATCGAGTCCTTCCCTCTGGTACCCAAGAGCACGGCTGTGTCCAGCCCCTCTCGGGCGGGGAAGGCGAAAGCAGCCTTCCCTCGCCTGCTAACCCCCATCCCCAACCTGTTCCCAGGCAGCAGGGCGCCGGCGCACAGCAGCGACTTTCCGTTTGGACTCAGGGGTCCGGAGAGGGCGCCCCACGCTTCACACTTTCGTCACCAGGCGGGAAGAGAGAGAAGAAACAACAGGGCCGCGGCAGCCGCCGTACCTCTCGTGGTCGCGGCCGTCGAAGTAGACGAAATCGCCGCTCTGGACGCATCTGGCGCAGGTCAGCCGCCGGCGGGTGGTGCTGCAGAGCGGACACCGCTCGACCGCCACGTACAGCCCCTCCGCATCATCCACGGAGTCCACCAGGTCCCGGGCCAGCGGCCGGGGCCCACAGCCAGGAGCGTCGGGCTCCAGCTCTCCCTTCCCACTGGGAGACGCCATGACGGTCGGAGCGCAGGGCCAGTCACGTGGGATTTTTGTTTTCAACCAGGTGCATCTTGGGCGCGGGGCGGGGCCTGGGCAGGGGGAGGGGAGGGCCTGGGGGCGGGGCCTGGGCGGGGGCGGGGCCTGGGCGGGGCTTCCCGCCCGCGAGTCACGTGCGCAAGGCAAACGCAGCTGCGGCGGCCGGGGAGCCCGCTAGCTCAGCCTTCCGCCAGCAATAGGCAGAGCTAAGCCTAAGGGTTCTGGGCAAACTGGATGGACAGAAGGGGATCGCCGAGGATCCTTCTACTTTTGGGTAAAGCTGCCCGACACAAAGCGGGATCCTGCGGCATGCTGCACTGTGGCACCTCTGCCTACCCGGAACCGGCTCCGATTTTGTCAGGTGTCACAGCCTCGCGCCAGGAGGTGGGTGCCTCTCACCGCTGACTTCTCCCAGCGGTGACCCTTGGAAAGAGCCTGAGCTCAAGCTCAGTTGTGTTTGTATCCTGAGCCTTAAACCTGCCAGTCCTCCTCCCGGCCCCGTCTGGAGGAGGAAGGTCGAGTAGGAGGAGGGGAAAGGGATCCAGAGGATGCAGGAGCAGTTGGAGTAGGGAGGGGGAAAGGATGGAGGAAGATGGAAGAAAAGGAAGATGGGGAGAGGAGGAAGGGGAAGCGGAAAGAGAAGAGGGGAAGCTGGGTGTTCCTCAAGTAGGACCCACAGCGTGCTGCTTAATAGGATCATATCTGTGATCTTTTGTTTTCTGATACTGGGGATTGAGGCAGCGTCTTTGCATTGAACAACATCCAGAGAGGCCTTTTTTTAAACCTTTATTTGGAGACAGGGTCACCAGGATAGCCTCAGACTTGGAATCCTCTGGCCTCCGCCTCCCCGAGTGCTGGCATCTCATGTGTGTACCACCATGTCCAGCTACTTCAATATTTTAAAAGGCAAAATATAGACAAAGGAATTTCTGTTCTGCTGTGATATCATACACAGTTTCTAGTTTGTGCAATTATTTGAAATTTCTATATACCTGTGCCTTTTCAGCAAACACAAGTTAATGTTACTTATGCAACAAAAGCAGAGCAGTCCGTTTTAATAATATTTTAACAAGGCTCTAAATCTCTCAAATTCTGAATTTTTCTTAAATGTTTAAACAAGAGTCATTTTGAGTAAGAAATTGTTTTCACGGGTCTCTTAGACACAGTTACTCACATAGAGTCACCAGTAATATGTCAAAATGTACTTGAACAACTATGATTAAAGCCAAAAGAATCCAGCTGTTCTGTGCTGAATCTGTACACACATTCAAAACAGCAAAATCTTGAATGCTATTCTCAACCTTTTTTAAAACTTTTCAGAATAGGATAGATGTTTTCAAATGCTTCATAGATCTCAGAACGTTCTTTGGCACCTATAAAAAAAAAAAAAAACCCAAGTTACATAATCTTTAATATAAGAATACCAAAATCTTCTTAACACTAAAATGTCATTGCTATCCCCAGAGGTGGTGGTGGTTGTTTTTATAGTGCTTGGGATCAAACTGAAGGCCTCACACGTGCTCTACTACAGAGCTATTTCTTGCAACACTCTCCACTCACTTTTTTTTTTTTTTTGCTCCGAATGCCTTCAGGGCAGGATTGGCTGGCTTGAGTTGTGGGGATCGGACCACAGCAACCTGAGCCTGACTGCTTGGTTGAAGCAGCCACTTAAAGAACTGAGCTAAGGGGCAGTTCTTTTAATATAACATCTCTTGGGCCATACCTGGCTCCTGGGGCCATTTTCCCACAAAACATAGACCCAGAGTTTTTCCAGTACTCAGTCTATGGGTATTGTCTTTAGCCACACAGTGCTTTTATTATTTTTGTGTGTTTCATTATTTGAAAGAGTCCTCCTGGCCTGAAACAGCAATCCTCCTGCCTCAGCCTCCTTAGTGTTAGGATTATAGGCGTGCATCGTTATGCCCAGCATATTTCTCATGTGAAATTTGAAATATAGGATGTGATCACTAAGTGTGCCACAAACATAACCCTGCAGTCCCTTCAGTGCCTGTGAGTTTCAGCAAAACGACTCTGATTCACTCAAGTCTAGTTAACATCTTGATTTCCTAATACTAATACGTTTATATATTGTACAACTCTTCTAGAGCTTTAAATTGTATTGTATGGGAAATGATTAGCAGGGAAAAAAACTAACATTCTCATTCTAGAATCTTGGGTTTCAAGGGATTTTGTGTCTAGTTGTACCCCCACGCCCCAAAGTTTCATGCAGTCGTGGGGTGGGTTCTGGAGTTTGTGATTATTGTGGGTGTGGGAGCTGCACAAGCCCTGGGGCAGGTAATTTGCATTATAATGAAAGGAGGGGAGAGAGGCTAGCTGGCTGCGGAGCTGCTGCCACTCCCTTGGCTCTCTTGTTCTATGCCGTGTGCCGCTCCGCCTTGGAGCCAGCTGAGTATGGACTGAAACCCCAGTAACTGTGAGCTAAATAAACCTTTCCGTCCCTAATTTTGAGTGTTGGGTATTTGTCCCAGCAACAGAGAAGAGTAACTAAAACGCTTGTCTATGAGTTAAAGGGATAGAAACAGAGCCGGTCTCCACCCTTGGAAATAGCGTCAGGCCCTTCTCACTCTTCACCAGCCATCAAGGCCACTCCCTGTGCCTTCACAAATGTGGGTAGGTTCATCCAGGCATTGTAGACTAGCAAGTTGTCCACTGATCAAGAAATGACTATCTGGCACTTTGGGGGCAGGAAGAAGCAAAGAAGGAGATTAATGAGAGAACTATAGAAACTATTAGCATGAGGGAACATAGAAAACAAAGTTATTTTTCTAAAACCATGTATGATCTTTGTGGCCAGGGAGATTGCTTAGTGGAATAAGTGCTTCTCTGGCAAGTGCAAGGGCCTGAATTCAATCCCCGGTTCAAAAAAAAAAAAAACTGCCACACCAAAAAAATGGTCCACAAAACATTCTCCTGTTATCATTAACCAGTCTTTCACTATAAAACTTAAATGGCCAATTGGGAGAAAGAGTTCTGATATGATCTTCCACTACTGATTAAGACTGGGGAGACCC